GGCTGTGCCAAGGGCAGCTCCCGGTTGGCATCCACATCTGCCCAAGGAAAGAGGGTAGGACAAGCACTGACATTATTAAAAACTAGGCAGGTGCTGTTTTCTAGGTTAAAAATACTTCCCCCACAAATACTCTGGTTGGGAATTCAGGGATTTCCAGGCCAGAGGCTTCTGAAAAACTTCTTTTGGAAGCAGAAAATGACCACTAAGAAAAAGCCTTGAGTTTGTCTTATTCATCTTCCCCACTGTAATTTCATTGACTTCTAAATAATGACAATAATGGAGTGAACTGGGCCCTCTGGCAGGCTCTGCCTTCAGGTTTGGTGGATTTGAGTGCAGAGCTCTCCTGCTCTGCACTTCTGCCAGCAGACCTTCCCTTGTTATGAACAATCACTGGTTAATTTGGTTCCAAGTCCTTCTTCAGCACAGACAGCCAATTTTTCTGAATTACAGGCCTATTTTCTAACATAAATAAACGAGGAGCCCCAGCTAATACAGCCATCTGAAGCCCATTAATTTAATCAGGGGGAGAAGAGCAGGAGCAGCACAAGGACCTGGAAAAGGCTCACAAGCAAATAATAAATTATCCTGGAATCATCTCTGGCAAGTTTAACTGTGTTCTAGTGCATTTTAGCTGCTTCTTTTGCCTGGTAAAGCAGAAATTGGCTTTACCAGTACATTGCTACGGAAGCTCATCCACCTGGCTTTTGTGGATAACATTCCCAAACTATTTTTATTTTCATTTCAAAGTAGTCATACAGAGGGTTTTTGAACGGCACCATAACATGCAGCACTTGGTGATGTCTAATTATTGATTATTTTAAGAACAACACCACTCTGAAGTGCAGTCTGTGCTGGCAGAGGATTCTCCTGACTGGATTGCTGCAGTGCATCCCTGAGCTTGACTGGAAATAATCATGCAAACAATGACCCATTTAATGGCAAACAACAGAGGAGAACGACTGCTGCCTCCATAATTAAACCCTGAATGTGTTAGAATGAGGCACTTTCTTGATTCTAAGCATAACACCACTGTCACCTGTATTAATTTTCTGAGAGAGGAGTTAGAAGTATGAGGCTGCATTGAAGCCAGTTTAATTAGCTGATTGCACAACTGCCATAGCAGAGTCAGACCACCTGATCAGCACGTATTAATCAGCATAGATTTAATAAGCATAACAGGTTTTTTTTTCAGCGTGTGGAAAAAGAAATGACAAAGAAATTTATCACAAAATCAGAGATGAATCATAGAATATCCTGAATTGGAAGGGATCCACAAGGATCTTGCAGAATAATGATCTTCTATGGCTAGACTTGTGATGTCTTTAGGAAATCAAGCCTAATTAATTACTGATTCTGAAAGTTTCCATTCTAATAACTAACACTGAGGAATAATTTAGCTTTAAACACTGCAGAGCTGCAGGTAAAATACAGAAACAGGCCCTGCCTTTCACTACACATTGTTTATTTAGCTCTGACAAGTGACACTGCTCAACATGCCAATCCCAGTGACATTTCTGCTCTTCTGATAGGGCAAGAGCACAGCATTTCCAGTAAACAGATTTAACTACAGCTTCAATGAGATACAGTGGCCTACATCCTTAAAGATACCTTCAGGTACCTAACTCTGTATTTTTAGTCTTGTCTTACTCACTCACTGCAAGCTGAGTGATTTTAAAATGTTGTCATCTCTACCTGCAAACCTGCCAGTGTGCAGTGATGGGAATTGGATGGGACCAGAGGAGGCAGAGCAATCTTGGGTCCTGAGCCTACAGGGGCTTTTGACCTGCATGAAATATTTACACCATGGTTCAAGGAGATAAACAATCTGTATGGGAAGAAGAATGCATTGCCATGGATTTGTAATCATAGAATACTAACTGCCTGATCTGGCTGGAGATGTCATGAGCAGGGGGATTGGACTACATGACCTTTAAAGGTCCCTTCAAACCCAAATCATTCTGTGATTCTATGATTCTAAAATTGGAGGCTTCCCAGCCAGAGAGAGTCTGTGATGTTTTTAAGCCAGACAAGTCAGACACAGACTATTGTGACTCTCCAAAAAGCAGCTCTGGAACAGGAGCAGTATAAAAGCTGCCTGTATCAGTACCTAGAGGGACTCCAAGAGAGCTGAAGGACTTTAAACAAGGGCATGGAGGGACAGGACAAGAGGGAATGGCCTCAAACTGAAGGAAGGTAGATTTAGATTAGGAAGAATTTAGATTAGGTATTAGGAAGAAACTGTTCCCTGTGAGGGTGGGGAGGCCCTGGCACAGGTTGCCCAGGGAAGCTGTGGCTGCCCCATCTCTGGAAGTATCCAAGGTTGGATGAGGCTTGGAGCAACCTGGAATAGTGGAAGGGGTAGCACAGGGCTGAAAGTGGAAGGCCTGTTAGCAGAGGGTTGAAATGAGATAATCTTTAAAGTCCTTTCCAACCCAAACCATTCAGGGCTTCTATGACACACTCTCAAAGGTCCTTCCTTTGCCTGACAACAAAGACTAAACTGATTCCTTGGGCCTGAAGAGAAACGGGATTATTTCAGCCAAGCCAACTCTAAAAGCTGCCATAAAAACTCTGAGTTTTTGAGACCACACCGTCCTTACGTTTTGGAGAGGCGTGGGGGCTATCTGAAGCAATCTGCCTCATCCTGGTGCCGTGGCAGCTGAGCGCCACCAGCCTGGAGATGATGGCGGTTTTGCCGAAGCCGATGTTGCCGACGATGACCACGCCGCGGTTGACGCTGGCGTTGGAGCTCTGCAGCTGCGCGTCGATCTCGTGGAACACCCAGTCCCGGCCNTGCGGCGAGCGGCACAGCAGCGCGGCCACGTTGTGCACAAACTCGGGCACCAGGCAGGTGTAGGCGTTGTCGGCCTGGCAGTAGTGGTAAGCTACGACCTAGCAAAGAGAGAAGAATGAAAAATCCCGCGTCTTCGTCAGAGCCACGCTGGGGACAAGCTGGAAAAGCAAGCGGTTTTTGCTCTCGTGAGTTTGAGCTGGTCTGACAGGTGAAGTCTTTAAGAGCAATGAGTGTTAACTGCCTATGACAAGAATCCAGACAAATCAGTTGGTAAAAACAGGCACTGATCCTGAAAAATGACTGGACCTCCCACTTGATGAATAAATGAAATTAAGCCGTAGCTGCTTGCAGAGACAGACAGTGACAGCGGCTGACATCTCTGAAGTGCTGTGCTGAGCTTATTCTGTGCTGAGTTCTGTTTAAGAACTAGGTGCCAGTAAAAACTTGTGATTGTTTTCTTGAACTTATTCTCTCTTTGCTTTGTTTTCACATGTCAAGCTCTGTGGAAATGGACAGACAGCACCCCCTGAGTCCATCACAGTGAGGCAACACCACGGGCACAGATTCCCCTGAGGCGGGGGCGATGGCAGCTCACTGTGCTTTACTCATTGTGATCCCACACTTCATTAAAAAAATTAATTCAATTTAAAAAAAAAAGAAAAAAAAAGTTATCCTTTTCCCAGCTTTCCTCTGACTTTTCCAGCTCAGCAAACTCTGCTAGAACCCTGCTACATTCTGCCCACTTATTAAAATAAGCAGAAAACCAGTGATATCTTCTCAGGCCATGCTGCCAACTCTGTTGTTTTCTTTTGCAATATAAAAAAAGGTCCTCAAAAATCTGTGTCTGTTTGTGAATCCCCTGGGAAGCTGCTCTGGCACCACTCCAGCCCAGCTTCTCCTGCTCCCTCACTGCCTCCAGCCTCAGGCACTGCCTGCCCATTTGGAATGAGCTCTGCCAGGGCACAAAGCTTTTCTCCAGCTCCCATTCTGGACTGGGTTTTCTTTTCAAATATCACTGAGTATCCAAAAATATCCCAGCAAGGCAGGTGGGAGCAGTTCTGTACCAAAACCGCCACTGCCCTGGAGCACCGTAGCACAGAATGTTGCAAAATAAATTGCATTTTTGAACTTGGGAAGGACAGTATAGCTGAGAACGCTGTGAAAAGGAAAAGCTCCTCTGGAGCTCAGGGCAGCTGGGATGAAATGTGCCCATGGCTTTGGACATGATGAAGGTTTTCTGTCTCTCCACCTGCAAAACCTGTCCCTTGGATTGCAGGAGGCTCCAGGGTGGCCAGGGCAGTGAAGGATGGTACCAAGGAATGAACACATCAGGCTGTGGGGTCCTCACCCACTGCTGGTTCAGCACTGGCTTCTGATTTTCAATATGAAATTACCCATGGGATATAATGCAGTGATTTCCTTTCCCAGTCAAAACGAGGTGTGACACACGCAGCGATGAGAAAGCTGGGCTGTTATTTCAAGCATCAAGCTCTAATACATGTATTTAAGTTTTAATGGATACCTCCAAATTCCTTACAGAATTTTTCCTACCAGACAGTTAAAATATAATGAATTCCCTTAGAGAACAGCACTGTGTTAAGTAATTACAGAGGTAATGATTTCTTTTCATCAATCCTATTTATTTGGGGATTATAACTTGCGCATTCAAGTTGCCATTCCTTGATATCAGGTTCCACTAACAGAAATTACTCTGATTTCCTATGCAATTTGTGTGTAGACACAAAAAGAATCTCTTTTAATGAAAGGCCAATAAATTTCTTCCAGGAATCTGAAGAGTCATGTCATGGAAAAAGGGTCACCCATAATCATCATCACCATCAGATTTTGGGACACACATGCAATTACCACCCAATTAATTTCAGCCACTTCTCATGCATTACAGTTGGACTTGATGACCTTAAGAGGTCTTTTCAAACCTTAGCATTCTGTGATTCTCTGTGCTTGATTTATGGGTGTATCAACTAAGCCTTATAACCAGTAGGATAAACATAATGCTTAATGGGTGGATCTGAAGCTAAAGCATTAAGCAAAGGAAGATTCTGGGAAGCCAACCAAATCAAAGGCAGAATGACGTTCTTAGAAAATGCAACCTGAGCCAGAATTTCATCTTGATGTTATTTATTCTCTGTGACATTTTCTCTGAAATCACAGAGAGGCTGCCAAAAGCCAGCGCTGTGAGTGGAGCCTGGTGCTGGAGATGGGGCTGAGAATCAGGCTCCTCACTTACATGGAGCTGGGTGGGAAGCAGTTTTCTCACACTGTAAAACTTTTCAAGGTTCCCAGTCCTGTTCCACCCTTGGGAATGAGACCAGGTGAATGTGAGAAGTGCAAGAGCCTCCAGGATGGCAAGGGGCTGGCGTGGATGGCACTCACCCCAAACAGGTTCAAACAAGGCAGGATGACGTTTTTAGAAAATGCAACCTGAGCCAGAATTTGCCATCACACCTCCTCTGTGGTTTGTCTTGGCTTCCTTTTGGAAGTGTGTCGTGCAAGAGCAGCCAATCCCCCTTGGACCAACCTCCCAGACCCCTGAGCTCACAGCAACACCCCACTCTTAAAGAGCTTCAGCATTGTATTTTAACCTTCAACAAGTTGTTTTTTTTTTTTGACCCATACAAAACAGCTTCAAATAAATGCAGCGTAGCACTTTGACCTGCCAACTATGCCACACGCCAGGCACAATGCTGGCTGGGAAAATGGAAATGCCCATTAGCACTGCATGTGACTGTGACCCAGTACGTGGCACGTGTGACCCAGTTTATTGGGAATGTTCATTACCTTTAGACAGCTGAGTATGCTGGTAAATGCTTTCTGAAACTCATTGGTGGCCCAGGGCATCAAGGCTCAGCAGCAATGAATCCCTTCACCTCTGTGCAGGGTAGGAGCACTCTGTTTTTATATGCCTGCAGCAATGTTAGTGATGCTTTGGATATGGCTGGGAGGATGGGGAGCAGAGCCTCTGGAGCCACCAGCTGTGCTCAGCATCAGAAAAATGAACTAATGCAATGGATGTGCAGCTCCTCCACCAGCTGCTCTGCACGGGGTACAACCCATTAGTGGAGCTGAGCTGGGTTTCAGGGCCATTTGTTAAAGTGCTGCTACCACACAGCATCCAGAAACCCAAAGAATAAAGCTGTTCAATGGGGTAGTTAAAACTGGGTAGCCAGTCCATTAAAAATCCTCTGTGAGCAAAGGATAAACCTTCAGGGAAAAGGAAAGGTCAGCATGGCAGGACCAAGTCGAGCTCCTGCTTGCCAGTCAGCAGTTACTTAGTTCTAAAATTAATGATTTGTTCATCTCTGACATTAAGAGCTAAATGCAAACTTTGCCCCCAAGAATTCACTGTATAAAAACCAGGCATAAAAGTACAACCCTGAGTAATCCAGAGGAGGAAAAGCAACTGTTTGCTCACCTTTCATTTCTGTCATCACAGATACACAACTTCTGAATATTGGGATAAGTGACATTTTCAGAGGGAAGGGGAGTGGGTGAGAGGACAACGAGCTTCCCACCAGCATTCTGGAGCCTGTACCAGCCATTACCTAAGACTGTTTGTATATTATTAATCTGCTTTTGTAATGATCTGCATTTCTCCAGCACAGGGACCTCAGCCCAATCTGAGAACATTCTGCTCTGCTCAGTGCAGGCAGAGGTGGAACATCTGCACACAGCTTTCTCCAGCTCCTCACATATGGTTCATCCAGCTCCTAAAATAACCCTGACAATTGTGGCTGTCCATCACTGTCAACACTTTCTTCTGTGCTTCAGTTCTGCCTTCAGTGTAAACACAACTATAAAACACACACATCCAAGAAACACTTTTCCATCCAGACAGACCAAAGGACCTTAAAACCCTTCCTAAAGAGTCTGCAGCCAAGGTACAACAACCTATTTTTACATTAATTTCGGCTGCAAGGATTGTTTTTAGCTCTTTCTCCAGTGATCAGAGACGCAAAAAAATCTTCAGTGAGCAATCTATGCCGTGGATGTGACACAGTGTTTGAAAGAGCCATATTCTTTACCTTTTCCAAGAGGAAACAAGCTAAACCAGCATCCATTTATCAATTACATACCCAGCAGGATGACTTAAGCACTCAGGGGAAGTGATAGATGAGGTATTTTAAGCAGAGATAGCACACTTTACTGCCCTTTCTGGTAGTCTGCAGAGCTTCAGATTTGCAAGGAATACAATGACTAATGCAGCCTGAACAAAACCAGACCTGGGCATTGCATTCCTTTCAAGAACTCCGTGTGGAAGAGGAGAGTATCAAACCTTAGTATTTATTTATGCTGCACACGCTACCTGCCTGGCTATCTGAGTGCAGCAGGAAAGCAGACAGGACAAGACAGTATCTGGCACAAAAAGCCAAACAAAACACGTCCTGGTAATAACTTCAAACAGAGACTTTTCTTGCTGTTTTCCTCTCTGAAGTGGGAGCAGATGACAGAAAAGCATTACCTGCTCCCATCCTCCCAAAAGGTGGAGAAGAGCAAGAGCAAACTCCTTGGATTTCAAAGCAATAGAATGGCGCCGTCCCATCTCCACAGAATTAGGGTTAAATCTCAGTAATACAATAAAATTCAAGCTGTAAATCTTATGTAGATAAGTGACACTGTTCCATATGCTCCACACAAACCATTCCTGCCAAAAACAGCCAGTAATTTGTATATTGTTCCAAAGGCTATGGTCTACTTTGGAGAATTTTCCAAAAAATTCCCAAGTGCACACACAGCATTAACACTCAGCTTGTGCCTTCCCCAAGTACAGTACCTGCCCTTTTCAAACAAAACATTGCTCTAACACTGGGAAATTTTGTTCTCAGTGCTGCAGAAAAACCACAATTATTTCAATAATTGTGTCATATCCTAACATTTGCAATGAGAAAGTAGGCTGTGAAAGACAAACCCTCAGAGTAACAGGGAAGTGCATTTGATCTAGAGGGAGTTTCATTTTAGAGAAGTAACTTTCCTGGGTACT